CCCCCCCTTTCCCCGCCCCCTCCTCGGAAATTCTCGTTGGCCTGCAAACACATCAACAAAAATAAAAACGGACGAAAGCAGACTGCCCCTTCTTGGGGAAATTACTGTAAGAGTCTCCTTTTCGGGGCTAACAGACTGCACGCCCTATCTGGGGAATTTGGACCCCCCCCCCATCCAGATGCTCCCTCTGCACGCGCCCTCCTCCTTGCTGAGTACCCTCAAGGCAGGAGGCCTGGAAGTTAGCGGCTCGCACTGGGATCCTCAGGTTTTGTTTGGAACTTAGAACGCTGTTCTTCCTTCTCCCTCACAACTCACGCGTTTCCAGCAAATCATTAATGTAATAACAACTACATCTCCGCCTGGAGTGGGGACAGGAAGCGGGGAGAGTTGTCCTGGCCAGTTTGTTCTGAGTTTTGCCCTCTTAAGCTCACATGAATGAGGTTTTTTTCTTCAGTTTTTTTTTTTAAAGTAAGGCCATTCAGTGCTGAGATGGCTTTTTGGATAATGTTTCTGATGTTGAGAACATTCTAGGAAAGTGGCTTTTTAAAAATTTTGAAGTCAAAAAGAAGCAGGTGCCAAGCTGCACCCTGTACCGTTTTGGTAACTTTTTCCACGTGGGATTTAGACATCCTTTCACTTCAGGCTGATAAAATGTTTGCTGCTGTTAATTGTTACTGATGTTGTACAGATAATTTTTACTTAGTTTTTTTTCTCTTTTGCCCCAGGACTTGGATGAAGTCATTGATCACTAATGAACTACAGTGCTGGTGAGATGTGTAAGGTGAGGCTGTGGTTAAAGAAAGTGTTTACCTGACTCCTTGGTCAGGGCAAGGCTGAAACTTCTTGTCGTTTGGCAGGCCCTCTTTATTTTCCCAAAATGTGACTCAGTCAATGGGGAGTATAGACTGGGCTAGAGTTAGAGGGGACAAAAGTGTCAATGTACCCTCCACTTTTCCGTGGCTCTGATATAGTCCAACATAGTGGAACTTACCCAGAGCCAACTGTTGGATGCGGCTACCCTTGATCAGCATCTGCAACAGGGGTAATTATAGTCTGCCTATTTAAATGTCCTTGTGTAACTTTAATTGGATGTTCTAATTTTATCTGTTTTGGTATCCATCGCTTGCTTGCCATTGGGTATGAGTGATTGTGGATGTGGGTTTTGGGTGTCCATAGTGTGTACACGCTCGATTACTCCTACTTTTATTTTCTGGGGGGAAAAAGAAGGTGGAGAGTAGTACTTGTTTCATAATCATTTTGAAATAAAAACAATAGTATCGAGTGTATTAGGGAGAAGGTTGATTTGCCATTGTTTTCTGGTCATGTGTGGTATTTGGATATTTTAAGGAACCCAAGATGAAGCTTTTATTTAAGTTAAGTTGTGGTCCTTTGGATTTAAAGGATTTTATTGATATCGGGTTAGTGAGCAGCATTCTGAGTTGGGAAAGGCGAGAGAAATTTGCTAACTTGATTATTCGTCTCCAAGCGGTTTCCGCTTGACTTCAAAAATATTTTTACTGTGGGTTAGTTAGAAAAAAATTAAGTAATTGTTGTAGATGGATTATTGCAACCCCCAACACATTTAGCCAGCCTCTGGATGTTTAAATCATATCACAAACTTTTCATATCTTTCTTGGCTAGGAAGAATAAGCTGCACATTATTATTATTCTTTTAGGTTTAGGCTAACAGTTGACATTGTACATTAAAAAACTTGGGAGAGGAAGGTGAATATAAACCAAGAATACTTTTAAGCTGTACACACTCCATTCATTTAAATCTCAGCAGAGGTTGTGTATATTACATATAATTTTTGTTGTTGTTGATGGAATCAGGATTTAAAACTTTACATTTCTTTCCAGTTTGCAGGTGATAGATGTTTAGGCCTTCAGACCACAAAATTTTGACCTTTTATCGATTTTTAGAAATTTACAGATTATTTTGTGGTAAGAAATCAATGATCTATTTTTTGGTTGGTGTCTTAAGTTCTTAGAAGAGCGTCAAAAAGTTTGTGGGAAAGTGGAATTAAAAGATAATGGAAAAGTTCCACAAAACTTTGAAGTTCTCATATCTACTACTGTAACAATACCACAATGAATGATTTTAACTAACAAATTTATTTCCTCACAGTTCAGGATGCTGGAACTCCAAATTCAGAGATTTATCTAGCGAGAAGGGGGAAGACCTTAATTGTAGGCGAAGGCCCTTGTCTCCTTTCAACAGCTGTGGGCCTGATATTCCTTAGAGCTCTTGTGTCTTGGCATGAATCTGACCCTGGGTTTAGGAAGTTCTCAGTGTAGGGACGTTGGCTCCAAAGGACTCCCCCTTCCTGACTCTTTTTTTGGTGGAATCTAGGTCCCTCTGCCTCTGATTTGCTCTCCTTTCATTTCTTGGAAGAGAGAAAAGGCCACATCCCATGGACATTCCCCATAGAATCTGATCAGGGCTGTGACCCAAATAAGGGTAAAGCCCCTTTTTGTTGATTAGCTGATTAGATCAAACCACATCGTGGTCATTATATAATATCCAAATTACATCATCCCATAACTGTCAAACCACTGAGTCTTGGCTTAGCCAGGCTAACACGTCAGGGGCCTTCAAAAAGCTTATAGGAAAATGCCATTATCTTTTAGTTTTGCTTCTGTCCCCGAAGCTTTTTAAAGTCCTCGCATGGTTTTGGAAGACACAATTCAATCCATAGCAGATGGAGGTATTCATTTGTACTCAAAAATGGATTATTTCCAAGGTGCTAATCCTGTGTGGCCAGTATGGCTTGGCCTGAAATATGCCAACACAATTTCCATTTTCCATAAATTTCACACAAGTGGATCATGTGGTGTGCAGTGCTCACTTAAAAGTGAAGGTCGTAGTTGGCCACTGGACAACTTGCTACCCAGACCATTCTATAATGGGAAATTCCATAGTATTGGAGGGTGGTTGTGGGGGAGTAAGCTGCCTTTGTCTTTGAGCTGACTAAAGACATGGCTTTTTTAGTCTGGCCTTTTGGCCCGGAAGCTCGGCCACTAGTTTTAGGTGAGGCCTTGGTTTTTGGGAGTTAGTCAGGACATCGCTTATCAGCTGAGAAACCTGGTTTTTGCAATTGTGTAATGGGCAGCTTCATTTTCTCATAGCATACATAACCATTCTAGGGGATTGTAAAGTCTGTCCACATTTCTAGACTGTCTGCTCTCTCATTGGAGAGGGAGGGATGTCCAAACAGCAGCAGAAACCACTCCTCCTTGCAAGGGTTTTGTCTAGTTTAAAAATACACAGCATGTTTACGAAGAACAATTTCAGAGGATATGTGAGGAAGTACACCAGATATTATAAATGCATTTTGTTCTCTGATTGAGAAGTAGCCTTGGCATGAATATTGAATGCAGATTTGTCTATAATTGTCTGTCAGTCTGCATTTAAGATACAAATATAGGCCTGACCCAAGAAATAAGGCCCTTTGCTTATTGCTTCAAATGTTTAGAAAGTTTGGGACAAAGTTTGTCAGCAGTGGTTAATCAAAAGAGGAGTGGAAACTACGTAAAATTATAAACATGTTGTCAATAGTTTGTTGTGAGAGCCCATGATCTTTCCACTGGAATGGCTGGGCTGTCTCTATCTAGTTTGTTTGTAGTCTCCAGCTAAGCAAACAGATCTGGGGAAGTTAGTGACTGGTCCAAGATCATACAGCTAAGTGGTACCCATGTTAAACCAAGTCGTATCTCTGGACCTGGAGGTCCAGCACTGGTTATGTGACATTTTACTGAAATACTGAGGACCGCAAGGTCGCAGACTCTGAACATTGTATGCAAATGCTTTAGAGTGGGTCCTTCAGCACATGGTGCTCCCTACTCTGTAGTTAAAAACTCTCTTCTCTTTCTTTCAGAAATTATAAAGAGCTCTGATGGGCTATTTAGGTGCTACCCAGTGCAGTGAACTGCAGGTGAGTAGGGCTAAGGAGAGGGCCTTGATTTAAAAAGATGGCTTTTATGATACCTGAGAAAGAGACCAGGAAGATTTAACTTAGACAGGAGTGTTTGGCTGAGGAGGGACAGGGTGGGGTGGCGTGGCACAGTCAGAAAGAGTGCTTAACCCAATGATGCAACGATGTGAGTCTGACCTGCTGATCTCTGGGCCTGATTGGCTAATGGCCATCCCCTGAAGACCCTGCCTGTGTGTGTCCAGAAGAGAGAAGGGTGGCTGGGAGTGTGCCACTTAATATTCCATTTGATCCGGATTTCAGCCTGCTTGTGTATGCAGGAGACCTAAGAGTCCTGTTTGTGTGGCAGCATTCTTGAGCAGCAGTCACCCCACACCTGCTGAACTTGGTTCAGTGTTGAATGGTCTGGATTTCCCTGTTACCTACTCTGGATGTCTTGCCAGTCATGGCTTGATGTACGGCTACTGAGAACGTGCCAACTGAAACAAAAGGTTAATTAAAAAAAATCTAATGGCCTTATTCCTTCCAGTGTATTAAACTATAATAGCCCTTCAGAAGTAATTGTTTTTTTCGCTGAAACACCTTGCTTGCTAGAGAAAGCAAAAGTTTGGGCTGGAGTTATTTGTTTGCAGTTGGCTTTTTCTTGGACCATGATAGTATTTTGGTCTTTATTATTTAATGTAGAAAATGGCCATCATACAGAAAAAGAAGAGTTAGGAGCCTGTCTTAAAATTCCTTTTTAAGGCACTAAGGCTAAGGTCTTTTTGATGGCTTATTTTCACTACTAGTTTTTTATTAGGTGCCTCCAGCTCTAGAAAGCCCAGCACATGATGAAATGACTTTCCCTGTATTTGGGCTTTGGCTTTGTAAGACTTATAAGAACAATGCTAGCTGCTCCTTAGCCATTTGCTTTCAGCTAGAATTTTTAGCTTTGCTCTTGGTTAGCAAAACAAAAACCACAGAACTAAATCTTTTCTATAGTAAAAAAAATAGAAAATCTTGTGTTTTTTGTTTGTTTCCTTTAATATACCCAAATCTCTTGACCCCTAGTTGTTTGATTTGACCTTGAGTCCGAACTGCCCTGTAACTGTGATGTAGTTCATTACTGAGTCAGCAAGGGGTCCTTGGAACCCCCACCCTGCCTCCATGATGTGACAAATAATGGAATTAAAAGTTAACAATTTTTCCATGAACTTTTTGGAGTCCTCTGGTTTACACTTTAGGGTTTGCATTTAAACTTGGATGTGGTTCCTTGCTATTTGTTAAAGTAATACGTGGTGGTAGGAAGAGTCCTTGTTTCTTGGGGGTCTGTGTATTTTGTGTGATGTCTAGCCCACAGGTTCATGGGGGTGAGTGGAAGCTCAGTTGAGGTGGTGTGTCCCTTCCTGGGAAGCTAGGGTTTGAGTGTGTCATAGGTTATTGTTGGGAGAGAGAGCGCTTGATCCAGGCCAGAGTGAGGGGACTTTATTTCTTCACTCAGCAAGCAGTGTCAGAATGAATACTAGGTGAGAGAACCAGAAGAAGAAAAAATTCACAGAAATGTTTTTGTTTTTATTAAAGAATCATTACTAAGTAAATGCCTCAGTGTTAGGGTTATTACCCTAAAACCACTGGTTTTCTTTTAGGCATTTAATAGAAATATATATTAAAGACTCTCAAAAAGTTTGTGGGAAATGGAATGAAAAAGGTAATAGAATTTTTCCATGAACTTTTGAAGGCCTTTCATGTATGTATGTAGATAGAGGTATGTGTGTATATGAATATACACATATATAATGATTATGGTTATTAGAATTTGATTTTTTTTAACTTTTATCATGCATGTTAATTTCTTCCATGCTGTTAATTTGTGTGTGTACATTTTTAAAGGCCACTAAATACCTTATCAAATCTTGCTTTCATAATTTGCATAAGTCTTCTAGTGTTAGATATTTATGTTGTTGCTTTTCATTTAACATTGTGGAGATTATTCTCACTAATTATATCTGTGGTGTGTTTCTGACTGGTGTTATGTTAAGGGTGTGATGCCAGTATGGTTTTAGACATATGTGTTGTCATACAGTTTTTCAAAGGTGTTGTAACAGTTTTGGTACTAACAGAGATATATGGATGTACCTGTTTTAAGTGTATTTTTAAAAAAAAACTTAACCCCAAACCCGTTGCCATCAAATTGACACATACTGACATTGTAAGGACAGAGTAGAATTGTCTTAGAAGGTTTCCTAGCCAGCAGGAGTAACTGGTGGGTTCGAACCACCCATCAGCACAGTGCATCAACCATTGTGCTAATTTAATAGTGTATATCCACTCCTCATCAATTGACATAGTTAAGTTCCACAGACCAGGTTGTTATGTGAAATTGGCAGGTCTGACCTTTTTTTAAAATCATTTTATTGGGGGCTCATCCAACTCTTATCACAATCCATATATACATTCATTGTGTCAAGCACATTTGCACATTTGTTGCCATGGTCATTCTCAAAACATTTGCTTACTATTTGAGCCCTTGGTATCAGTTCCTCATTTTTCCCCCTCTCTTCGTGCCCCTCCTCCCTCTTGAACCCTTCGTAATTTATAAATTATTATTTTGTCATGTCTTACACTCTTCGACGTTTCCCTTCACCCACTTTTCTGTTGTCTGTCCCCCAGGGAGGCTGTTATATGTAGATCCTTGTAATTGGTTCCCCCTTTCTACCCCACCTT